GATAATCCCATCCACCTGTAGCAGCAATGATGAACGATAATCCTCCATAAAATGAAATATAGAATGACTTTGGAGAATAAAAATTGGTTCTAAAAATCACATATCTCAATATCCAAATTTATCAAAGCTAAGTACCAACAAACCAATCAACAGAGATCAATCAACCGTTTGTGTTTATCAAAAGAGGAAAATAAACAAATCAATTGTCAAATTCAAGTTGCTTAAATGAAAAATTGTCTTTCTTGGATCATAAATCTGCAAGTTCAAATTCTCCACCATGGCAACACCTTGTGATCAATCTTGTGCACCTTCTTACAAATATCAACCTCTTCCGATCCTTGTAAAATGCAAATGAAATTGTACAAAGAAGAAGATAAACTAGAAAGGTGAATTAATTTCATCATCCAAAGTAGAAGTTATTTAACCTTGTTCATCTTTGGCATTCTTGTCTTGATTATTAACACCATCAACACTATTGTCCTTCATATGCATAGCTATAAGTTGAATGAAAATGGTTAGAACAATATTAATAGTAAAGTCGTAGAGGTATACAAGAGTTAGATCAAATAGACTTCATTATCCCAACCTTACTAGCAAAGCATATTCCAGTAATACTCAAATAGATCAGATGCAGCAGCCTTCACTTGCTTTGCGAGTTCTTCTCCCAACCCATTCACATGATATATCTTCTTCAAAGCAAACTCAACAAACTTGTACTTACAAGTATGATTCAGAATAGCTGAAACATATAACATTTTGTTCATTTTCTCCACATTTCCCCAGTATGCTTCATACTTTTTCTTCATTCTTGATGCCATTTCGGAGAAACCAGATTCATCACTATTCTCCCACTTATTGAGCAGCCGATAAAGATTACCAACTTCATCGAAAAATATGTTTGATGTGGCATACAAGGAGCCTGAAATCTTCATTGTGAATTCATAGAATTTCTTCAAAAAGGGAAGGATAAGTTTCACATTAGCCCAATCACCCGGTCCAGGAGCTCCAATCAGTATGCCATTTTTATCCTCATTTTGAAGAAGATCAGCATTGAAGTTCAGATCAGATACAAAATATAATGCAAAAGCTTTCTCATACTTCTCAGCTGCTGCGAACATCATATTTGTTGAGTTCCAACTAGTAGGAGCATCAAGAGACAACCCACTTTTTCTCTTTGGACTCTGAAGTGAAGCAAACTCAAGAAACCAAGTACAACCGAGAAGGACATTGTTTCACATATCTAACTGCTTCTCTTACTCTTTTGATTGAAATGTATACATCTTTCAATCCCTCTTGTACAACCAAATTGATGATATGGGCGACACAACACATGTGCAAGTATTTCCCATTCAGAACACATGATCCTCGTCTAGCTAACATAGCTTTCAAATGTCCAACGCCAGTGTCATTGGAGCTTGCATTCTCAACTGTAATAGTAAAAACATTGTATATCCCTCATTCAACCAAACATGTATCAATGTCTTCTGCGATGTCTTTCCCCTTATGACTGAAGATTGAACAAAAGTTAATGATACTCTTCGATATCTTCCAATTATCATCAATAAAATGAGCAGTAAGACACATATAATTAGTTCTCTGCAGTGAACTCCAAGTGTCAGTAGTTAAACTAACACTCCTACTTCCCATAGAGCTCTTTAACAACATCTTCAGTTTGTTCTTCTCCTCAACATACCAAGCAAAGCAATCTCTAAAGATAGTCCATCTAGAAGGTATATTAAACCTAGGGCATGCATCTGACATAAAAAGTTTGAATCTAAGAAGCTCAACAAACTTAAATGACAATTCATCCATGATAATGATGCGAGCGAGAGACCTCCTTATTTTATACAGATCAAACTTCCAACCAGTTATACTATCATCACCATCTCCAATTGGTTTCAAACTTAAAAGTTTTTGGGTGTTACCTTCACCATTAGTTTGAGCATTGCAAGCATTTGGCGGTTTCATATGCTTCTTCATGGTTGAAGTTCCATTCTTAACGGTATCTCCTGCATAATCTTTACCGCAATATTTGCAAGTAGCTCCCATTTCTCCTTTTTCATTTTTGTACTTCTTAAACTGGGTCCAAACATCAGATTTCTGAATTGGTGCTTTGCCTTTTCCCTTTTTCCCAACCTTTCTAGTAATAGGCTCCTCTTGCCCTTGAGGTGGAGGTTGAGTTCCTTCCACGATACCAGCTCTTTGTCTCGCTATTTCAGTAGGCTGACTTGTTTGTGGAACATTCTGACCTTGATCAGTATGTTGCAAATGGTGTGACATCTGCATATACAAATCCCATAGCCCATTAATAATTTTGTTCATTCTTGAAAATGGCATGCTACTAAAACGAGAATAATTAACATATTACAAATGTATAAGCTCCCTGAAAGGCAAAAGGCAAAGGAGCAAATAAACTATTCAACTATTATATGTTTACATTTTCCTCACCTATTGTAGAGAGCTATTGCTTATGTGTTTTTGTGATGTTTATTTTAATTCTATCTATCGAGTAAACTACTAATTAAACGTGTACAAAGAAGGCAAAGCTTTCAACAGTCACGAGCAACTACAAAACTTGAGCCAACTATTTCATATGTTACCTTGTCCTTCAAAGGTATGTGATTGCTGAAGAGTGAAGACGAACGACAATGGTTGGCGACGGCGGGCTCCACACGAGGATATGTTTTTGGCTGTTTGTTATTGACTGACGGCTGACTCTAAGTATTGTAGAAGATAAAGAGTCTAAGTATATATAAATTATGTAGGGTAGGGAAGGCCTAAACGGAACGTAATATGAATAAACCTAGTTTTTACGGTCCCGGTCGGTTTTGGTGGTATTTTGTCGGTTTTGGGCGGATCCGGACCACGCACCGAGAAATGTCTCAAGTTGGGACCAAGCCCCAGACCAAAAGACTAACGATCCGATGTGGTGAGGGTCTTGGAGCCGATTCGGTTCGGTTCGGGTCTGGTAGGACCGCTCCGCTGCACACCCCTACCCCCCACCCATAATTCTGGCGTTGTCATCTCCATTCCCTCTCTCCTCTTAGTTTCAACGATAGGGTTCTCTTGATGGGAGCAGATCTGCCGCCTCCATCACCACATTTGTCCCCCTCTCGCCATAAACAACTCTCTCAAGTGGAGTTGAAAATGCATGAAAGAGAGTGTGAAAAATCACTTGTTGTTATAAGTGGAAAATCCAAGTAGCAAAATATTTAGTTTACTCCAACGTCTCAAATAGCGTAGTTTCTCGAAATATGAAATTCTCAAACAACACATATCTAGCTTCTAATATTTTTGAGACTTTGGGTATCACCCAATACTAGTATATATTGAACAATCATGTTGATTACATTCATATATATAAATATGAAAGTCACACCAATCAATCACCACAATGAAAATTAGATTGTGAGATGAGAGAATAGCTAGAAACCATATACACCATAGTATATAAGTTTTCATCCCACTCATGAATCACACAACACAAACGAGAGCTCATGTTCTACATATGAACCTTTTCATGCTTGCTGCCCTGCCCTGTCAAGTTCCAAGTTCTTGACTTCATGAGGCCTAACCCTAAAACTTCTCTCTTTACTTGTGTGCTTTGCTTCCCAAAGAAAAGGGTGTTGATTTACACATGCCATGGCCCATGAGATCTACTTGGCTTTTGCCATGTGCATAGAGTTGGACTTTGACCCACTTTTTCTTTGTATCCATAGTTGTGACTTGTGGTGCTTGTTATTCTCACAAAGTAAAAAGACACCAACTTTCAAAGAACATCAATTATTATTGTTGTAACCTTCTTTTGTCCCCTCATCACATTTTTAACCTTTCCTTGAAGCTCAAGCATCCTCATTTCCCAAAAGTGAAATGAAGAACAGTGTCCTCTCATGTCATGTGTGTATGTTGGGGAACTTCCCACCATGTTTGTCAATTTTGAGCTTCGTTACATGTGCTTTTCTTATGTACTAGCTAACTTGTTGCAAAATTTGGAGGGTAATAACAAAGCATGTCCTTTGTGCAACTAGGGCAGACCAAATGGAACCCCATAAACATTAATTAATAGTAATTTCTCAATTGAATAGTAAAGAATAGTTTATAGTATAAATTATAAACTATATTGACTTTAACTATATCATTTCTTAATTTGGAGAACGAAATTGTTCAATGTATTTAAGATAACAATACAATATATTACATAGTTGAATATACATACACTATTTTTGGCCAAAATTTTGATTGTTGGTTTATTTCAGTAGTAATCCACCTAAGATAGGTGATATCGTAACTAATGTGTTAGAAGGAAGTTCATCTCTCACTTAACTTCAACTCCAAATATCCAAATACAATGGAACCGCCCCTTCAATAAAATTGCACTGTATGATAATATGATATAGCTTATTGATTTACCTCTTAATTTTCCCTATAACGAAGAAAGGATTCATTGAGGCAATTGCTTTGATCCCGAAGATGAGTTTTGTGTACACTTCTTGACTCTTTTATTCTTATTTTCTTTAGTGTCTAACAATTTTGTTTGTGTCTACGATGTATTCACATTTAATTCTTCGATATAAGATGTTGTGCCATTTTTAAGTCTATAGAATCGACAACAAAGTATATGATGGACTTTTAGTGCCAAACATACAAACAATCTCAATCTATACCACGTTGGCCGTCAAACTCCTTTTCCATAGAACACAATTTCAAATAACTTCAATCGCTTTATCTCGTAATTTATGATTGTTAAAAGTATTTGATTTCTCTAAATTTAGTGTTGAGTTCTCGTCTATCCTCTTTCTTTATATTGTGTTAACAGATCAGAACTTGATACTTGGTTCAACCATCACCACTAGATCAATAATTACAGACTAGACAAGTAATTAAGTTAACAAAATCTTACCACCCAAATTGCTACAGCCTACAGGGCTAAAGGCCCAAAAAAAAAGAGGGAAAAAATAAATATAAATATTAAAAAAGAGCAGGTTTACTCACTAGAAAGTCTAAACCTCAAATTTCCCTCTTTTCTCATCAGCTTCAAACCCACCCCTCTCCCCCTTCTTCGACCTTCTCCTACCCGCTCTCTCCGCACACACAGATCAATCTCCAAATCCCAATCTCGAGAAACCTTCCGGCGAACCAGCCGGAAGAAACCTCAACCGGCGTAGAAAAACCCACTCACCCACTTGAAACTTTCCCGCGTTTCACGAATTTTCCGTCCCTCTGGGGTCTTGGGGATTGATTCTTCCAATTCGGTGAATTGGGTTCCGTCTAGAAGAATGGCGACTGGTGGACCCGGAGCCCACCAGGAAGAAGGTGACAAGACCCTCTCCGCTGCTACCCCTGCTGCTGGCGGCGGTGGTGGGGCCGTCGCGTCTAGAGGTGGCGGCGGGGGTGGAGGGGCCAGGTCGTGGGGAACAACCACCGCCTCGGGCGGTCAATCGGTGTCAACGAGTGGCAGCGTGGGGTCTCCGTCGAGCAGGAGCGAGCAGGCCATCGCCACGCCGGCCAGCGACAACACTTACCTACGGCTGAACCATCTCGACATTCACGCCGACGACGCCGCTACCCAGGATGCTGCGGCGTAAGTGACCTCTCCGATTTCCCTCTCTTTTGCTTGTTTGATATAGATACTACAGGGGAGCTGAATCTAGTGGTGGGCTATCGATTTGTTTTGGTACTTGAGTTGATTGATTGTTTGTGATGCATCTAGATTGGGTTAAACATTGTTTTGATTGCCGAGGAAACAGTTCAAATTCTGCCTTAGAAATGTCAATTTGCATATTTATGCCAGATTTACAGTAGTCTCAATTATTTCTGCTTCTTGGCAGCTGTGATTTATAGTTTTAGATGCTGCCATGTTCTTTAGTTACATTTAGTTTGACCAAATGGTAAGGGGGTTTGCGGATGTTCTTTCTTTATGGAATGGAATGGAGCTTCTTTCATGTAAAATTCCTCATTACGAATTGGTTTATGGAACAGTAACAAGAAAAAGAAAAGAGGTCAACGGGTAGTAGGAGCTGATAAAAGCGGTAGAGGTCTCCGACAATTTAGCATGAAAGGTAATCCGATCTTGCCTTCTTATCTATGTCCTGCCAAAGCTTGGCAGATTGATGAGCAGTGAGTTCAGTGAACATCCAACATTCACGAGTTCATACCGACTAAGCCTTTTTTATGTACTGTTTGCAGTGTGTGAAAAAGTAGAAAGCAAAGGCACAACCACTTACAATGAGGTCAGTGGGTTCTTTGGCATTCTTGCTTTCCATGTTGTTTTTTCTTTCGCGGTGCAATGGCTTAGGTACTTGTCTTAAATTTTGTATACTCGTGTGCTTCATTGACTGTTATGTGAGCACTTGTTGAACCACTGCTTATCTTTGATAGAGGAGGACCAAAGCAACCAAAGGCATTGATTTGTTTTGCAGCGTCTATAAGTTCCCTTTCCAATAAGTTGATTCGGGTTTCTGATGAGCTCTCATTCTTTCTCAGGTGGCAGATGAACTTGTAGCAGAGTTTGCTGATCCTGGTGGTGTTGTTCCAGCAGGCCCAGACCAGGTCGTTGTATTGATTAACCAGTTCATAGTCATTGCTTTCTAATTTGTTCATTAGAGGAAATGCACTTATACCCTAACTGCTAACTGTTCCTTTTTTGTTTCATATGTGAACTCACAGCAACAATATGACGAGAAAAACATACGGCGGAGGGTGTATGATGCCTTGAATGTCCTCATGGCTTTGGATATCATATCTAAAGATAAAAAAGAAATTCAATGGAAAGGCCTTCCTCGGACCAGTCTGAGTGACATTGAGGAACTGAATGTACAAAACATCTTATATAGATATGAGTGGCTTGATTTTTTTTTTTTTTATGTCGATTGGCCATTTGCAGGTCAAATGTAGACATATCTGATACTGCAAATGTGATTATTGCAGGCCGAACAGCTCTCATTGAGAAATAGGAATGAAAAGAAAGCACACTATTTGCAAGAACTGAAGGAACAAGTAAATAACACCTATATTTATTTGAGTGTGTAATGAATCATTTGAAGGTAGAGTTTCTTAACTACTCTCTTTCCTTGTCTAGCATGTAGGGCTTCAGAATTTGATACAACGAAACGAGCACCTATACAGCTCTGGAAATGCTCCAAGTGGGGGTGTGTCACTGCCTTTTATTCTGGTGCAGGTAAATCATTTAGTGACTACATTTGTGAATCTCTCACCATCAGTGACTTCCTTTTTTTAATGGCATTCCTTCTGGTAGCCTCCTTAACATCTGATCTTACTTCGACAAATATGGCCATTTGGCCAACTGTAGACTCGACCCCATGCAACTGTGGAGGTAGAAATATCAGAGGATATGCAGCTCGTCCATTTCGACTTCAACAGGTAAAAAACCCTTAGCCTCTGCTTATACTTATTTGCTTCAGCTGGCAACTTTTCTAGTAGGCAGCAATTTTCCCAAACAAACCTCCACTACTACTAGTTGCTTTATATGTTCTGCTTCTGTTGTAACATGTCATTTTGGTGCTTTATTGTTCCAGCACCCCATTCGAGCTCCACGACGATAACTACGTTCTGAGAGCAATGAAACTCAGTGATAACGACTCCTCAACACCAAACATGGTCATCGACTTAGATGAACAAGGATCTCGAATGTTCCAGCAACAGCAACAACATTTGCTTCCTGCTACTGTCACAACTACCCCAGTCAGGCCTGCTCCCACTTCGCCGCCCATTCCTGGGATCATTAAATCACGGGCAAAGCACGAGCACTGACCTGGCGAATGATATCTCTCAATTAGACCGATCCTCTTTTTTGTGCATATCCATGTAAAGTAATCAATGGCTTAGAGAAAAGTGCCCTTTGTTGTTGACGATGGTGATCATTGTAGTAGATGATTAGAGGGTAGGTTAAGTCGCAAGCGGGTTAGCTTTCAGGTGCTGTTTAGGCGGCGAAACCCTGAGGATTGTTGTAGAGATTAGAGAGAGCTATCTTACTTTATGGTGCTGTTTAGGCGGGGAAACCCAGAGGATCTGGTCAGGCATGGAGATTAGAGAGAGCTATCTTACATGATCTGAATGTTTTATTGGGATATATAATGAATTGGATTACTATAATTCCATATATTCATCAATTGTATCCTACATTCTAACCCCTGCATTGTGTGTTGTGTTGGGGTTTAGTTTTTCTTCTCAGTTCACTATGTGGTTCAAATGAACGATGGTCAGCTAGGCGGTTGACCCTATTTCTTGGTACCTCAAAAGGTTTTGAACCATTCCCGCCAAAATTAGTTCAATATTGGAATCAAATGCTGTACTAACTTATGCACCAACCACAATCAAACCAATATTCGCACTAACTTATTGCATTCATTCCACACCGTAGGTCATTACATTTTCACATGCAGCTTATCTTGGTTTACAGTTCCTGTGAAACATCAAATATCATTTTACATGAGAGAATCTCGGATCAAACTGATGAGCTTCCCCTGTTCATCAGACACAGGTACCACACCCACAGAGTCGATCCAGCAAGCATTGATCGGGTATTCCTTCAAGCCCAAAAGGCAGCTACTTGAGAACTGAGGTCCCAGGAAAGGGTGAAAAGCATGATACTTTTTGGTGGCCAGAGAGTAATAGATGTTCCTGCTACTGGGGAAGTAGATCTTGTTCCCTGCAGACCTCACCTTAGCCGGTTTAGTAAAACTACCTGTACAGTTGCTTACAAACACCATCCTGTCTCCCAGCCTCCTGCCAAACTCCACCACTGGCTCCCACGCCAGGGACGACGATGAACCACCACCGTTAATGTTCATGGTCATGGCATAGATGTCACTTCCCAGCTGATCTCCTTCCCCTGGGTTGTTGGGATTTGGATCGAACACAGCGAGCAACTCGCCATTGTCTTCGAGCAGAAAGCTTCGTTTCAGGTCATCGAGTTGCGGTTTGGGGAAAGGCGACTCGTGCAGGGAGAATAACTTGCGATCGATGTCGAAGATCCCCACCCTCCCGTCGATAGCTAGGCAGCAGCAATACCTTTGTCCTATCACAACAGGGTTGGTGGAACCGGCGATGGGGAAAGTATCCCCATCTCCTGTCGTCCCCAGATGTCTGTAAATCTCCCAATGATCTAGCCCGTGCCTCCAAATTAAGAGCGCGAAATCGGGGAACTGGCCAGCTGCAATCACGCAGCAGTCTGGTGAGGTGGGAGGAGAGGTGAAGCACATGGACACGGTCCAATCAACACGGTGCCCCGGGAGATCTTGTTGTAGTTGTTGTTGTCCATGGGGACTGATGATTCCCTGAGGGAGCTCAATGCTCTCCATGGTCACCGGGTTGAAGAAGAAGTTGGTGCAGTCCAGCAACTTGGTCTCCACATCGACGAACCTGCGAGTCATGAGCAGCCAGCCGTGGTTGGAGTAGCGGATGGTCGCATTTGCCAACTCGGGGCAGTATTTCAAGTATGTAAACATATGGAAAGGGTGCGAGAAGAAACACCACCCATCTCGGTGGTTAAGTGTCATCATGAGCGGAATATGTGAGTGGTGATTCGCTACTGAATCCAACTGCGAAAGGCAATCCAGTTCCGGAACTCTGTTCTTCTTCTTCTCCTTCTCCAGCAGCTTTCCTCCAACATCATTGTCGCCATGAACAACAATATCCCTCCATGACTTGCACACTGAACCCATGAACCCAGCTGCCCCGGGATCCATGGCAAAAAAGAGTGAATATATTCTCCACACCAAATCAGGAGGGAGATCCTCGAACCCGATTTGTCTTCCGGTCTTCCCACTATGACCTTCTTCTTTCACCAATTCCCCCATGGCTAAACCACCAAGCTGAACTCTTTTCCTTCGTTACAATTCATCCATGTTCTAGGTACAACAATGGTGGCCTGTATAGCCAACAATCAAGAACCCTTTCGTATTAGGAATGACAAAAGGGCTCTAGTCCTACACAAATTCGGACAAAGCCATAAGTTAGACCGATTTGTTATAAGTTAGGAAGAAGAGCTAGAGAAAGCAATCCGTCTTCAACAATGGCGGAACTAAAAGAGAGTACTGATTTCTTACCTCATCAAACGTACCCGTGGCTTGCAATCACAGAAGACGGCGGCGAACCCACCACCACAACAACCTTCTACAGCTTATCGCAGGAGAAGCTATTCCCCCCCAAGCGGCGAATCGTGCCGCCGGGCCATCGAACTCTGACGTCATCGCGTGGATGGCTGCTCCTCATGGACACGAAATCGAGCCTCTGCCATCTGTCGAATCTCCACAGCGGCGCAGCAATCCAACTCCCCGCGGAGCCCTTCGCCCTCCGCCGGATCTGCAGCTTGTTGTATTTCTCCGACGACGACGGCGGCCCGCCTGCCCGAGTGATCCACGTACACCCCGACGGGCTCTGGTTCTGCGACCCCGGCGGCGACCGATTCGTCAAAACCGACCTCGTCCCACTTGCGTGCGATAAATTGATCGGGGCGGCGATCCGGCGAGGCGAGCTGTACCTGGCGGCGGAGGTGATGCCGGAGGCGGGCGGATTCAACTCGCGGCTGCTCGTGAGGTTCGACTTCGACTCGGTCGCGATTTCCGAGGTCACGCGCTTCGACTCCGTAGAGCATTCGATCAGATACGGCTACAAATTCCAGTTCTTCGAGTCCGCCGGCGATCTGTTTCTGGTTTACCGGATGTACTGCCACAACGAACCGATCCAGCAGCTATGTACCTTCATCATCAAACAGTACAAATTCGAGACCGACAGGGTGTTCGAGCTCGGGGATTTAGCGGGAAGAACGCTGCTTCTCGGCCAAACTGCTGGAATGTACAACATAAACGACAGCGTTTTGTGCGGCCCGGTCGCCGCGGCGGGAATTGACCCCAATTCCATCTATTTCTTGGAGCCCAATGACAAGTTTCTACGTGTCTACTCTCTGGAAGATGATAGTTTGCTCATGACACTCGGGCTAAGATCAGGTGACTAAGGGGGGTCCCTTAGCCACATGACTAAACCAATCTCAACCATTGAACCTCATTAAAATCTAATGGTTCAGATCTATCTAGTTTAATGAAGGGTAATGTAGTAATTACATAATTAATTTATTTAGCAATTTAAAAAAACCTAATTCTATTCTTCACCCGGCGGATCCCCAACCCACGCTGCCGTTCCCAGGGGAATTCTTCTTCTGGCTGATGGGAATTATAGCGGCGGAGGAAGCTTCTGAAGGCGCCATGGATGATGGGAATTATTTGTTGGCAGAGAGAGAGAGAGGCCATGGATGATTGGAATTATTTGTTGGCGGGGAGAGAGAGAGAGAGAGAGAGAGAGAGAGAGAGAGAGAGAGAGAGAGAGAGAGAGAGAGAGAGAGAGAGAGAGAGAGAGAGAGAGAGAGAGAGAGAGAGAGAGAGAGAGAGAGAGAGATTTTCTAGTCGGAGATTTTTTCCGGCGAACATCGTCGTCGGAGAAGAATTTCCCGGCGACAGTGCTGATTTTGTGATGTTTGTTGACATATTTTGTAATGTTTGTATGCTTTGTTATTTTGTAATGTTTGTCGGTTTTTTTGTAATGTTTGTAAACTTTGTTATTTTTGTGCACCATGTTTGTAAACTTTGTTATTTTTGTGCACCATGTTTGTAATGTTTTTTATGTCTAAAAAACACCCGGGTTGACTTTTGGATGAAGCCCCTCTATATAAGGATGGAGCCTCCAAAGTCAACCCGGGTGTTTTTTCCCGTTCGTATGGATTGTCGGTCTAGTTTGTCATTTTTGTCCACCATGTTCGTACTATTTGTATGTCTAAAAAACACCCGGGTTGACTTTGGGAAGGAGCCCCTCTATATAGGGATGGAGCCTCAAAAGTCAACCCGGTTGTTTTTTCTTTTTGTATGGTTTGTATTGTTTGTCGGTCTAGTTTGTATTGTTTGTACAGTTCATACGTTTGTAATGTTTGTAAATCTGTTTGTATGTTTTGTCGCTCTAGTTTGTACTGTTTGTATGTTTGTATGGTTTGTACTGATTGTAAATCCGGTTTGTATACTTCGTAATTTTTCATAATACCCAAACTACCCCTGCCATTAATTAAATAGTCCTTCCTACTTTTTAACCATTGGATTGAAGTGTCCAGATCTAATGGCTAGGAGGGGCTTAGTCAAGTGACTAAGCACCCCCCCTTAGTCACCAGATCCGCACTCCATGACACTCCCCAATCCTGAAGTTAAGACCTCATCTAGCGTTTCCCTCGATTGGATTATGTTGTAAGTTATTATCTATTCGTAGTTTGGATGTGAGAGTATAGCGTGGAATTTGAATAAAAAGTTCATGTTCATGTAATTTTTTTTTTGTTTTGATACTTTTTAAAATGTATGGTTGTAAGAATATAGCGTGTGATTTGGATCAAAAGTTTGTGTTTGTATGAGAAAAAATGTGACATTTCGAAATATTTGTGTGAGAAGAGGTTATTACTTGCAAAATGTATTATTATTAGTTTTACATTTTTCCTGATGTATGTTTCTATTGCTTTTGTTGATGGAAGAACCTATTGTTTTTATTGAAATCTCAAATATCATTCCTTTCTTTTTTCCTTTCATCAATTTCACTTTATTTTCTTGTTTCTTTTTCTTTTCCAGCGGAGATATTATAGTTAGTAAATAGTCCGCTAAAAATTCGTGTATTGACATAAAATGTATTACTTTACTATTACGGAATGATCTCATTTTTTATGGTTCCTTTTTTTACTTTCCGTACTAAACACATATAAAATATGTATAACACATTTAATTATCTTTAAAAATATTAATTTCATATGTTTATGACTATTAATGCATTATTAGGCATATAATTAATTTAAATATGATTTAAAATATACATATAAAGAAGGAAATAAATATTTGATAGGATATTCCAGTAGATATATTGAAAAGGGTCAAATAGGTATTTTGGCATTAACATGTTAAAAGGGTTAAATAGTGTTGGCAATTAATATGAATCTGTCTCGTTGGGTATTATTCAACCTAATTCGTGTTAGGGCGGGTAAGACCCCATCTGCAGTAGCATGGGGTGGGACATGGACACAACGTATGCCACGGTGCGCTTCTCTCTGTTCTTGACATGTTTTTATCTTGATTTATCTCAATATTTAATTATTTTCTCATATTTTAAACCACATTTTCTACATAATGGTACTTTAGATAAAGTGCAAGACTTCATCTTTCAACTATTTTTCATTTATGAACTATTTTCTTTTGTTTTATCGTTAAAAATAAGCATTTTCTTCAAACTATTTATAAGAACGGCCCGACCTGCCCCAATATGTACTCACACGGGTATTACTTGACACGCGTTTAGGGCGAGGCGAGGCAAGTATAGGTATTAAGGTGCCCATCCCACCCCATTGCCATGACTAGGTTTAGATGCTTAGACCGTTTGGTAGGAATGACAATCAGTACAAGTTAGGGACGAGTACTTGGTCATGACCTGTCAAGCACAGGTCGGGTATGTCGGGTTGTGGTATGTCGCAGGCCGATCCATTTTTTTATGCGTATTAAAGAAGCGAAAACATAATAGGTCAATTATTTTATAAGAAAGAACGTGGAATAACACTTGCTATATAAAAATGGGGAGGATGGCATGATTAATAAAAGTAAAATTTTTTGATAGATAAGAGTTTCACTTGATGGTAATTACATTAGGATTCGAAAAATAAGAGTCAAAGTTATAATTAATTTGACAAAACATTATATAAAGTACACAATATGGGTCAAGAATAGGAGGAGGCGGAAGGAAGATGCATGCTTGCTAGTTGCTACATCTCGTTCATGAAGCTAGTATAACATGATCCCACACAGATCGAATAGAATATGTCATGTCAAACGTATTATTAGTCGAGAAAAGAATCATAACATTATTATTTTTTTCATTTTAAAAAATAAGCACTTTAGTAGAATACCTTCATTTCTACCAACTCAAATGATAGACAACCCTTTCCAGAAATCCCAACTTACCCGATGACCACTTGATTAACCGTGACGTAATCCATACAATGAAAGATCCATTTACTGTTGGTATTCAATTTCAATGAATCCGACGGTGTTGCTGTATTAGACTTCCCCTGCAATTTGAGTCGGCCAGGCCCAAAGCTCTTGACGGGAGAGAACAGCCCGTTATTATTGCAGCCCAATGGGCCGAAGTAGGGCCCAATTTGTAACGCATTTTGTCCAATGAAGCTGAAGAGCACATGTCGAGCCCAACTTATATATCAGCAATGCGACGTCGATTCTTGCTCCAACCGACTCTTTCAAGTTCCAGCGCCTCCTTTATCACCGATCGTCCCACCATTAGGGTTCTTTCTTTCGCGGCGGCGCTAACTCCCACCCGAAGCCCGCCAACCAATCTCCGAGAGAAGTAGTGAAGAGAGTAAAAAATGGGAGGCAAGTGTCCTAGCAGGAAGGTGAAGAAGAGAAGGTTCTCTCACAAGCAGGCTCGCCGCACCAAATTCGAACTCATGGGCGACGACGCGGTCTACGATCAGTTGCAGAAGCCCGACGCCGTTAGGAAACCGATGCCCTTCGACGAGGATTTGCCTGGCATGGGACAGCACTACTGCTTGCACTGCGAGTAAGTAAATTCCATCTCTGGGGTTGAACTTATATATAACTGGGTATTCAATTTCAATTTTGTTGGGCGGTTCGGCGGATGTTTGGCTTAAAGTGATGATGAGATTGTTATGGGAAGTTAAGATACTTTACTGTTTATCCATACAAAAGGATCAAGGAATGTATACCGGGGATTTGAAATGGTTTTTCCATTGTTGTAAATAAGTGAAAGGTTAGGACTTTGATATTTTGGTATTTCGGTTTTATCTTTATTATGGACTGTGTTTTCGTCCTTTTGGGTTTACTTGATTTGGCCATTGTGCTAAATTTGGTGTGTTTTCACTTTTCAGCCGATTTTTCGCCAACGTGACTGTTAGAGACGAGCATTTCAAGACCAAGAAGCATAGGAGACGGTAAGTGACTGTTGACATCCTGATCATATATATTGGTGTTCGTAGTCTTCTTTAGACGTGCATATTTGATAGAAGGAAAGGTTTCTCATGCTGATATTTGGTTGTTCTGAGAGCTGCTTAGGGAAATGTTTGCAGCGTAAGATTTCTAGCCACACAGTATATGCCTCTTCGAGCGCCTCCCTAGCTTCTTCATCTTGGTTGATGCAATTTCTATGGTACCACTTGGCGTTTAAGTATCCAAGTCTTATGCTGTTAGCTAGCTGAGAACTCATTCTGTTAAGATATTAGAACCATTTCTTATTTTGTTTGCACTAACATTAGATACCAGTCATGTTGTACTTGTATCCAAGTGGCATGCTAAACATTGAGAATCAGTCGATGTAATGTTTAGTATTATCGGACTTCAATATCAGCAAGTTCATTAGATAGCCTGATTCATTTGGGGAATGACCTAGGCATGAATTGGAGGATTAGAATGTTTGTATATTCCTTTAAACAATGATGAATTGGACATTAAGGTTGAACATAACTTTTTTCTTCCCAGATTGTTGTTACTCATGCATCCCTTACTTTTTTGTTGCATATACATGCAATGTTTATTTTCATGCATGTCCAGATTGTGGCAGCGTCTGATGTTAACCATTGTTGTTTACAGGGTGAAGATGTTGAATGGTCCTAAACCACACACTCAACTTGATGCTGAGTTAGCAGGTGGTATGGGAATGCCAG